TTATGATATCATTATTATTATTATATTAATACTTGTTGTAGTATATAAATTTATCATTAATAATTTATTTACTATATCATATATAATTATTTTGCTATAATTATACAATTTGATATATTGTATAATATATTGAATATATTAAAAAATTATTTTTAGAAGCTCTCATTTTTTATATTTAAATATTAATATATTATATAATATATTACTAAAACATTAATGATATGTTTTATTAATTAAATACTATAAAAAATATTTTTTTGTTATATAAGTCAATATTATATCATTATTATATGATTATTCATTAATAATAAATTATTATATATTGTGTTATCAATATAGTTTATTTTCTTATTATTTACAATTAATTTAACATATATAAAATATATACTTGTATTTAAACTATAATTATTATATTATATCAATTATAGTATTGTATTTGTTATGGTGTTCTTGATCACCAAAGTGTAACCATTTGCCAACAATGTGCATGTGTACTTATGCATTGTTCGTGGGAAAATTGTGAGAAAATTAAGAATAAAATTTGTATTAGTCTCTCTAACTGACTTAGGAAAAGAATGAATACAATTGCTCACAGTAATCTCTCTCTAACTGAATTAGAAAAAAGAAATTACAACTCCCTATCGGTTTCCCAATTTACAAAAGAAGGAAGGAATCGACGGAGATCCTTCCCTTTGTTTTAATCTGGATTCTTCTTGGTGTCGATGGAGCTTGATTCTTGTATCATGTTGATGGTCCGAACTCTTAACCTCGTGGAACGTTGTCTATTCCTCTTAACTTGACGTCGGGAAGAACTTGCAATGCAAGTTTAAAACTTTCACGAGTTAAGAAACACTAAAAAACTGCTCTTGATGATGCTCCAAGCTCAGATCCAGAAATTCTAGCTGAAGATCTAAAAAAAATTCCAAGATCTACCAAAAAGATCTCAATCCGCTACACCTCCTTAATTCGCTCCTAAGTGGGGCTAATGGGATGTAACCGCCCCTTAAATCACTCCTGAGTGGAGTTGTGATCCCCTCAAATCATGGGAAACGGTTTTGGAACCGTTCAACTCGTGTTTGAACGAGTCAAACGCAGAATTTTGCGTTCTGGGCATGAACTCTGCGTCCTGGACTAGGGACGCGGAGTTGAACTCTTCGTTTGAGGCTGAAAACGCAGTGGCGAGCCCTGCGTTTTGTTGCTTGGAATGTAGAAGTGAGCTCTGCGTTTTGTTTTTGGAACGCTGAGGTGAGCTCTACGTTTTGAGTTGAAGAAATCATTTATTTGTAGTCTCTTAAGTTAGAGCGTTGCCAAGATTGTGATCTTCATCTCAGCTCCTTGAAATGCAAGAGTCATCGGTTGTAACTCTTGTTGATGATTGTGAAGGCCGTCGAATCAGAACTTTTATCATTTGTTGTGAAGGTCATTGAATTATAACCTTCGTTGATTGTTGTGAAAGTCTCCAAATTGTAGCATTCTGGAAGTCCTCGAATTATAACTTCCATTATCAGTGCTTGATGGGAATTAGCTATCTGCAGTAATTTTTAAACAGCCTACGTGCATGTAATACCCCAATCAAATTGACGGCCGAGACCCATGAGGGTTCCCACTTAGCCGACTCGTTGAGTCGATATTCCTTTATGTCGACTTAAAAGGCGGTACTAGTCGATCCTCTTGTCGAAGACAACTCGCAACGAGCCCACTCGACCTGCTATTCGACGCCTCACAATGACGACTCGAAAGGTATTACTTCTCGGAGAAGCTAGAGGATGACTTCAGCCTCGAGCCTGTCCCACTGATAACGTGTCAGCATCACATTTAATGCTTGGAAGGCGCCATCATGCATCTAGCCCCGATAGTCTTCATGACTTATCGGACCATGTCAGCACCATAATGCCTTCGTTTACTTCTCATTTAATGCTAATGTGATCTCTCTTTCAGTCGCCAGCCGACACCTGTAAAGCATGAGCTAACTTAGCTGCCAGCCCATGCTTCTTCACCGTCATTCTGTACTCAGGCACAATGACAGTTTTATCCTTTCAGCACCACTATAAATAGGAGGTACTATTCCTATATAAAGGGATCCTTTTTTAGATTCCGAGTTATCCTGTAAAATCAGTGCCTTTTACAAATTATACTGCACACACAAGAACTCTCATAGTTCTTTACTTTCCCCACTCAAATTCATCAGCTGACTTGACCATCAGAGGAATCACGGGGAACCAGCCCCCGTCCTCTCACGGGTTTCTATATCCGCAGACTCTTCAGCCACTTGACTCAGAACTGGATATTCGGGGGAAGGAAGTGGCCCCTCATCAACTTCACCCCTATCCAACCATAGATATAAATGACTCTGTGATCATTTAACATCAACAGTATTATATTATATTGTATTATATTAATGGTACTAAACATAATATTGATATATGAAGAAACTAACATTATATTATATATTATTATATTATGTTATGTAACAAATATTATATTGTTATGTTATTATTAATTTTTATATATATTATTATTATTTACTATTAATATAATATATAATAATATGTAAAAAATAATTATCATATTATAATAATTATAATATTATATGTGTTATTAATTAATGACATTCTACATAGTATTGATATATTTGGAAACTTATTTAATAATGTAATATAGTAAATAATGTAATACAATATGATACAATGTAATATTATAATTATATTATGTAACAAATATATTATATCAGATATATTATTAGTGCACTATATTGGGCATTCAAAGTTCTAGTCCAAAAGTTTCGAAGCTCGAATGTCTCGAGAACCTTGAGTAGGTCATGATTCATGATATGGCGACATTAGAAAGCAGTTCACTACAAGGCCTATACACGAGCACTACCATCCCACGCCAAAGCTATAACATCACTTTGATGTATGACAATTCGTGACTCAGAAGAATCCAGAAAGCTAGGGAAGTAAAAGGAGTGAGTTCATCAAATGGAATTTGTCATCCTGATGATCAGTGAAGGACTTCGGGTACATCACTCTGGTGAATGACATAATGACTTTACAGTGGTGAACACCCTTTGAACTCAAAATACAAACACGAAACACATTTTTGGTGTTTTGAAATAAGTGTTGTGTTATTTATTTTTAATATTGCGGATCAATAAAAACACCATGATTTTTAAATACATGGTGTTTTATTTTTGATAAAAATGCTATAGAAACACTAAAACACCATGGTATCCAAGTACTACCTTAAATTGTTGGGTGCGTTGAATACTTTTGAAGAATTCATAATCGGATGATTAAACATGTTGGGTAATCCGCTCAAGAAGCGATCAACTTGTCATCTCTTTTGTTCATAGAGACTCGGTTTAGTTACCTTTCATTGTTTTCCATCAAGTCTCGATCCATCTCTTCTATCTTATCTCACTCCAAAAGATTAATACATAAAATACATTGCTAGCCCGTAACATGTTAAACATCACCAAATCTCAATTTGGCCTATTCACTTAATTCCAAAAAGTTTTACAATTTTTACTTAGTCTCTGATCAGTTTTGTCCAAACCCCGAATAGTAACACAATCGGTTCTGATATACGTGCAAATCACGTGTTATTAAAAGACATGATATTCTTACTTAGAAAACAGCTTCACTTCCTGTTTTATTTTCCTCACCCTAAAGTCACTCTTCTCTTCCATGGCATATATCCCAATCCTAAAAATTAGTTTTTCATGATTATATCTTCAACTCTAAACTGATGTTGTTTATGTTATATTGTTTATGGGGTTAAGTGAAAGAAGTCAAAACATTATGGAGGTTTTATTTAAATTTTCTAAACTTGTTGGGAGTATTAAGGCTTGGTTTGGTAGGGGGTTTGAGGAGGGAAGGGGAGGTGAGAGGTGTGCAATGATGGAGGGATGTACATCCCTTTAAGCCTTTATATTTGAATGGAGAAGAGGAGAGTAATGACGCGTATTTTTGTAGTTTATTTTCTCTTTTTTTTTCCTCCTAATTTGAAGCGATTCTTCTCTTTCTAACTTCCCACTTTATTTTGTAGAGAATATCTACAACTAACCAATTAAATTTTCTCACTCAATGGATCCCACGAATGATATAAGCCATCTAAATTATATAATTTTTTTTAATTGTTGGGCCCACTGAGATGAACCAATAATATTAACCTATCTAATCAATTGTAGGCATTCTCTACAACCTAGCTTGTAGAGAATCCGGGCTCCTCTAGAAATACCCTACCAAAGGCTAAGTGAAAAACGTGCGCTTAAGATGTTGTGATGTGTGGCAGAAAAAGCAATCAATTTCAAGAAAATTAATTTTGACTCCCCCCAAAAAAAAAAATAAAAAATCAAGGTTAAGGTGTGGAATCAAAATGAGTTAATGTTGACAGCCACAAGGGCCCTCTCCTTTGTGTGGCGTAAAAGCTTTAAATAAGAAGTGGAGTTGAGTCGAGTGGAAGCAAAGAGAGAGGGTTGGATTTGACAAGGAGAGTGGGGTCATGGTATTTTAAGAAAAAAAAAATGGCTGAGGATGAGCAAACGGTGGGGGCTGCACTCCGCGAACAGAATAGTATCCGTAAGAGTGGGACAGTTTATGACATTGATAAAATGGACACAATCTTCAAATTAAACCCTCTAACCAATCATGAGTAGAACATATCACCCAATTGTATGAGGTATTCTGATAGAATCTCGTATCTCCAATGCAAATTCAGTATTTTGTTAAAAACAATTTGTATAAAAAGCTCCGCGATTTCATTGTACAAGGAAACCATGAGTGCTACAGTTGATTTTCCTATTTGTGTTGGAATTTTTTTTGACGAGGTGAAATTATTAAGCCTGTGATTTTTTAATCTAATCTAGAGATGACAATTCTGATCCAAACCCAATAACTCATCAGATCTATCTAATATGAGACCCATTCAAACTAACTTATTTACCTAAATGGGCCTAATAGGATGAGTAACTAGTTGTGTTTAGATGGGCGGGTCATGACCAACCCATAACCCACCCAAACTTACCCAGGTAGAAATCTAATCTCGCCCCTCTCTCCCGAAAACCCTAAAAATCTCGGCTCCCCTCTCTCTGCGATTCGTCTCTCCGAGCTTCTACGGCATTTTCCCGGCGGCGCCTCCGCAGATCGGCGGCCAAGGGCTGATCGAGGGTCAAGCGGTCTGGGCTCAGTTTGGCGATCAAGAGGCGACGAAGACGAAGACGACGAAGCCTCGATCCCAATCCCTTTCACGAACTTCGACGGCGGCGACCGGCGACGAAGACGACGAAGCCTTTGACTAAGTCGACGACGAAGACAATCGGCGGCTTTGGAAAACGAATTCGGAGCCAATCAAGAGGCGAAGTAGGTAAGTTTTGATTCTGCTTTTTGATCTAATTGTTTCTAAACGCGATTTAATGTTTGATAAGGAACGATCTCAAATTTGCAGCAGATAGTACCCATAGCATTTAATGTTTCTAATCGTTTTTTCCTTTTCTTTTTCTTGTGGTGATGGTCGCTTATATTTGTATTTTCTCTTTTACTTGTCCTCTAGATCTGACTGTCAACTATGAAAATCACTTTGTTGTTTCATTCTTATTTTAATTATTATATTGATGCTACTGTCCACACAATGATATGATACCAATTTTTTTCTTCTTTCTTTTTTTTTTGTTTTGCGCCAAAGAACATCAAGTCTGAACTATAACTGACATTTATTTCGAAAATTTGAAACTCATGGACCTTGATAATGTGAATACATATATTACCCAGAAAATGAACCATGCTTGTTTCATATTAATAGTCATATAGCTCTATAATTAGTTTTCATCAACTTTATGTTAATTTCTATATGCTGTCAATATCACGGAATTATATCTGTTTCATTCTAAATGTTCTTGTTTATCCTTCACTGTAACTCTGAAGGCTTTGAGAGCCTCTTATGTATGATTCATTAGAAAAGTATCAGTAGTGGTTTTCTGATAGTCCTGCAGAGTCTAAGAAAACTTATTGAATGATTTTTTTTGTCCTGGACTTTATAGTTGAGTTTTTTCTGTTAGGGTTATGAGTCTTATGACCTCTTTTGAGCCTTTAGTTTACTGATGAGGTATTTGTTGTTTCAACCAACTCACTGAGTTGTTCAGATTGCTCAGCAATTTTGATATGAAACACTGCTGTCAATGAGTAAAAAACATGGCATATGTACTTCCCTGAAATACTGTTAATCTAAAAACCTACAATATGAGGTGTGAGTCGTTAACTTTACGATTAAATGACCTTAATTTTGAAGTAATGTTTGAGAAATTTTCAGTTGTGATTCACGTATCGCATATCTTGCTCATTTTCAGTTGTGATTCATGTAGCAGCGAAGCTTGATTGCAGCAAGGAATATCCGTGCACGGGTACGAAGTTGCACAACATAAAGCTGTATTATGGGAAATCTAAGGCACAAACTTTTTGTAGAAATGCACAAGGGAGTTCTTCTGGTTTTGTGATTCCACCAAGTTGTTTCTGAGATTTATTGATTATAGAACGACGATACAATTAAGTTTTCTATGAACATGAATAATATATGTATGCATTAAAGTTTCAACTTTTGTGGTTTTTGTGCATTTATCATAAGTAGTTTTCTATTTGGCATGAATGAAGTGTTTTATATTAGGGCCTGTTTGGTTATTTCCTAAAAAACCAAAAAATAGAAATGAAAACCAAGAAATCTCAAAAAGTACAATTTTACACATTTCCATCCCTAAAACTCACCCACAACATCTAATAAAATATTATTTTTATCCAACAACTCATCCACCATATCTAATAAAATATTATTTTCATCCAACAACTCATCCATCACATCCACCACATCTAATAAAATATTATTTTCATCCACAACATCACTCAACTCATCTCATCTCATATTTAAAAATCACTCACATCATCCAATAAGATTGTGACAACTCATCTCATTAACATTTCATTTCTTTATTTTCCTCCCAAAAAGCTAGGAAAACAATTTCCTTAAGTGTGGGTCACATCATCCAATAATATAATGATAACTCATCTCATCTCATCTATTTTCTTATTTTTAAGAAATAACCAAACAAAAGAAAACAACCTATTACAAGAAATAGGTTTCTTATAATTCATTTCCTTATTTTTTCCGCCAACCAAACAACATCAAAACAAGTTTTCTTAAAAAATCACTCACATCATCCTATAATAAGGTGACAACTCATCTCATCTCATCTCCATTTCTTTGATTTCCTTCTATTTTTAGCCAACCAAACAATCCCAAAACCTCTTTTTTTAGAAATAGGTTTCCTTTTCTTTGATTTCCCTCTTTTTTTAGGCAAACAAACAGCCCCTTAGCCAATTCATTCATTTATTTCTTGTATGTGTATCTCATTTATTTAGAGTCTAACCAAATTGGTTTATTGTTTGCTGCAGCTTTTATCTAATAACTGTAAGTTCATTTCTTATGTTACCTAGTTAAAATAATTCAAACCAAACAAGTGAGACATAAATTCAGTTACAATATTTACACTTACACATGCACTTTCATTTCCAGACAGCCAAATAGCACCATCACGTCGTTAGTTACTTCCCATTCTTATCACCAATAATTTGATGTAGTCATCAATTATTAGTGCTTGTGTGCAGATCAGAATACACATGACTATAATATTCTATTACCGTAACTCTACATCTAAATTAACTTTATTAATACTTGTGGTAATTTTTGGAAGCCTTAATAAACATGTTTTCTCTATATCAGTGATACAGGGGTCTCCTCAGGCTTTTCTCTTTAAAAAACAACTGACCGCACTACTATGTCTTTCAGGCCCAACTACATAAAGGCCCATATCCAAAGCAGCCCATTGATAAAACCCACTCCCGACTGTCTGCCGCCAGATAATTCCCCAATCTCCTCCTTTTTCCCGCCATTGTCACGGATCGCAGCCATGGCCGCAATCGGAACCCTAAAGAAGAAGATCCAGCGGAAGTTCAAGATCCGGGGCTTCACCCTCAAAACAGAAGCCATTGACGAGGCCATCTCCTTCCTCTCTCGTTTCCCCGACGCCGAAGATGAGGCCCTCGAGCTCCTCATCGACGAGCTCGACAAAGAAACCCGTAAGACACCTGAAATTACCAAATTGCCCTCCTTGTGTACCTCAAGTTCATTTAGTGGTGACCTCTTGTAGTGAAGTCGTCGATCTTGGACAGAGAGGCAATTCATCGAGTGGTTAGCCTGCTTGTTGAGGCGGATGAGGCGATTGATCCGAGCTCGGAGGGGATGAGCAATCGAGTGGCATTGAGAGTGATCGATTCGTTCGTGGTGCCACGGTTTCGATACGATCCGATTAAGAGGGTGTTTTATGAGTAAAGATCTCACCTTTTGCTCATTTAGGGTTTTAATGGGATTAAGATGTGTGAGTGGATTCCTAATTTTCACACTTTATTTAGGGATATAAGATGGGGTTCCGTCTTATTTTTTTGATATTGGATGTTGAGTACCAAATCCTAGAAATGCATATTTTTAAAGCATTGTATTGAAGATGGCATCTTGTCTTTCCTGATTGGCTCAATTGTTTTTGGTTTAAAAAGATCTCTCATTTACATCAGCATCACATTGTGTGCGCAGATTTGTATGATTTGTTTTAGTAGCAGTATAGATTTGTTTGTTGAAAATTGTTGTGTTATCAAGTGTGTGCTTTACTTAAATTGTGACTGTGATATAGGTTGGAGTCTAGGAGGCTGATTTTCTTAGAATACTGTTTTGAAAGACTTAGGTAATTTATGTTAGCATTTCTTAGCAGTTAGCAGATTGTGTCAATAGCTTAAAGGAACTAGTATGCTATATAGTTTTGTTGTGGTTTCTGAAGATATTTCAGTATTATTTCATGTTTAAAGCTTAAATAGAACAGGGAAAGTACTTACTTCGAGTGTGCGTAATATGAGCCACAATTTATCCCAACAAACTATTAAGTTTACCAATTCTATTTTTTGCCTCTCTTTTTTAAAACAAGTCTGGACCCATAACTTATGACTACCCCATCAAGAAAGTCATTGATAAAGTAACCTTGGGTATTACGTGACAACTTTAAGGGAAAAAAATTACAAGAAAACATGTTCAGAAATTGATCACACCTGAAATGATACAATAGATGGATGAGGAAACTAAAATATTAACCATGTGCATATTCATGGCAAAAGAGGTAGCATTTTATTAACAATATAGCTTTATGATCTCAGTTTTTAACAAGGTTGTCAGTTTTCACTCCATGATAATCTATATCGTGGACAATTGGTTGAAGGAACCCCGTTCTAGTGTACCATGACTTATTTTTCCGTATTTCCTTATTAGGCACACAGGAAATTTGCCAATCCATGGGGAAGCTGGTGATAAAGCTTCCTTGTATCGGGATAGGTACCAGCTATTACTTCAGAGGCTCTCTCGTGATAAGTACTTCTCTAGACCAGTTTTTGATACAGAAATGACTGAAGCTGACAGTTGTGAGGTAGTTTAGCAAATAATTTTATAAGTTTACTTTCCAGTTCTTGTCTACGATTTTGTCTGTTTATCTAGTTCCAAGTTTCTATGGGCTTATTCAAATACATTATATATGAAACATCCATTTCTCAATATTATGATCCTTGATCTTTGGCTGATAACTGCTGGTACTGTCGTCTTCAGATTACCCCAATCCAATCTTTGATTGGATGTACTGGAAGGAGATGGCTCATGGGCGTAATATCTCAACTAGAAGAAGGCCACTTTTACCTGGAAGATCTAACAGCAGCCGTACCAATTGACTTAACCAATGCAATATCCTTGATGCAATTTGATTTGCGCCATGTTTTATGCCTTTTTAGATTATATTTGCTTGTTATGGTTCTTAATTGATTTTGAATTATGTGATACAGATTCATTTTATTTATGTATATTACAATGTCTATTTTAGGCAATGAAAATGTTTGTAACATTTTTCAATGATTTAAACATTAAACTTAATTTTGTATGTTTACATTTTTTGCTTCAGTTCGCATCATCTTTAACTTGTAAAGCTGCCTGATGTTAGAACCATAATCTGCAATTTAAGCTATCACATGGCTTAGTAATATTAATAGTGCATCATGACAGTGCTCACACTGAGGAGGCAAGCTGATGCTAAAGGTAGAATTATACATGAGAACAAGATGTTTTACATCATAATTGTCCCTTTCGTTTCTTCTAAACTGAAGAGAAGATTTCACGAGTCAGATTTTTTTTCCTTTACATTTAACACAAGATCACTTCTGGATTCTTTGTCGAGAACACTGTCATTGTTGCAGAAGGAGAGCTTCTTTCAAATGGCAATTTCCGAGTAAGGCATCAAACTTCTATTGCTCCATTGTCCGCTCATTATTTCATATTGCGAAGTTCCATTATGTGCTTGTTCTATTTTATTTTTGAAATATATGCCATATCATATTGCATGGCAACATCAATTTAATGAGATGGGAGGAGCGCGAGCCATCAACTCACTTTAGCATCTTATTATGTGGTTAAATAAGAATCCATGATAGGAAGTCCTCAGGGATGCATTTGTATATGCACATGAGAACGCATGCACGTGTGTGCTGCATGTGCTGTGGCTGTTGTGTCTGATCCTACATACATATGGAGATACACTACTAGTAGTGCATACCAGTTTGTGTAGACCAACCTATCAAAAGAAAACCAGGTAATGGATGACCATTTTTGTTTGTCATGATCTATTATCTTGCATTCTATGATCATTGATTGACTAACCTGTAATTCATGTATAGGGGGAAACTATTCTAACCATCTGATATACGAGTAAGATGTTATTTGGAGTACTTAAATTTTCATTTTATGTGTTTTTAAATAAAAGGTAAGTTCTTTGATCTGAACAAGTGAATTACTCAATTGTGATAACCAGGGTGGTTATCTCCCGAGAGTATGAGAACCGTTCTACTTCCTATTTGTATATGCTTGCATATATGAGCTTTTGTAAGTTTACAAAGTGTTCTATTTTTTGTACAGTGGTAAGCAAATGGGTGTTTCACCACTAATCTTGGACTATAGAGTTTTGATTGAATTTGTATATGACTAATGAGTTTTAAGTTCAACAATCAAAGATGATTTAGACGCTTGTTAGCTGTTAGCCTGCTTAAAGACTAGTGCTATTGCATTAAATGTGATGTTGAATTTTCCAAATGCTATCAATGCAAGCAACGGTTAAAGCATGTCCAATCTTTTATAAGTTTGAGATAGTCTCTCTTCTGGGTATACAAGTGTTAAAAGAACACGTGAATTTGGATATACAATGTGATAGAGCATTAGATCTTTATGCACCAATTCTTTAGTTGGAAGACAAATTAACCTATCTTTTCAACTGAATGCTTTTGATTCTACAATCAATTTGTTCAGTGCGGGTTTGCTCGAAGCATGTTGCGGTGTATATTTGAATTGTTTTCCATTTTGTTACCTGAATAAAAAAATTAATAGCCACGTTAATATGTATACGTAACAGTATAAGTTATACCCTAAGATATTGATGATTTCTGTATTTGCACTGACCGACTTACCTCACTAGGTAAGTATAGTCAGCTTTCAGATGCTAATTCCTGCTTAGTTTGGCTGTGAGTAGGCACTACATAGGACTTCGTGAGAGAATTTAACTAATCGCCAGTACAAACTTTTTAAGTAACTATTTTGAAGGATCGTCATATTCACATATTCTAGATGATCATTGTGTTTACATCAAACTTTCCTAATAATTATGCTTGGTTCTGATTTGATGCAGGTCAATACTTGCGGATTTCCACCTTTGGAGGACAGAGATGCATCGATTTCATTACTAATGGGACTTGATTTCTTTGGTGGTGGAATATTGTCAACTGAAGAAACTGTATCCTTACACAAGCCTTTTACAAAACTACAACTAAAATCAGCAGAGATTATAACTCACTCTATCTATTTATATCTGTATCTATAACTACCTCTTTATGCCTACACAGACAAACACACGTGCGCGCCCACACACACATACAAACACACAACTCTAGAAACTTTTTGTGGACTTTTAGTACAATCTCCTTTACGAATTTTCCCATTAACTTCTAATAGCTCAGACTCTCATCATTAGAAAAGAAGGCAGTGAATGACATGTTTGTCATTCTTTCAGATGTATGGGTGGATAATAATGAGGTAGATTAGCAACTTTTAGTTGTCAGGTTAAAGTTAATTAGCAATAATTCTCACTACTGTCATTTCTATTTTGCTCGTAGAGAAGACCATGGAAAAATTGGCTGTTGTCTTGGATGGTTATGAAAGTGTGGAGGTTGTTCCTTCTTTATTTGTTTTAATGGGGAATTTTTGCTCTCATCCTTGCAACCTTTCTTTCCACTCATTTTCAAGTCTCAGGTTAGGACAGTTATTCACTTAATCTAGTTTTCTAGCCTTGAAATTATAGTACCTTATTGTTTAAGGACTACAATATCTTAAGAGAAGGCCTAAGGTTAGCAAATGTGATATACAGGATGCAATTTGGAAAGCTAGGGGAAATGATCAAATCTCACCCAAGAATCAAAGAGCACAGTCGATTTTTGTTCATCCCAGGTCCTGATGATGCAGGTATTATCTTATCAATTTTTATTTAGTTTCTTTAGAAATTTCTTTATATCAAATTTTGCAGACATAAGCAATCTAGTTATATGTATTGCAATTTGTCAACAAATACTCTTTATTGAGGTTTTCTTGGTTGGTCTTTATAACCCTTATAATATTCTATTTATGGCCTACGTAAGCCAAAAAATATTGGCTCAAGTTATACTTCTGACTTGAGATATTTTGTGACTTTTATCCATCTGAATAAATCTGGTTCTATATCCGTATATTATATGCAAGTTCCTACCTGTTTTGAATGAGTAGACTGGATATCTTACACCCTCTCTGATTGTAGAAAATTCCTTTAAATATGCCAGGATGACGCCTCTAGATTTTGACTACTGTCTTACCAGCTTCAAGTTGTATTTACACATTTTCTCTTAATTTCAGTCTGAAATTTATTCTGATTCAAAATCATTTTCTTTTTGTACTCTTGGATGAATGCAGGACCTTCAAAAGCTCTTCCAAGGTGTGCTTTACCAAAATATCTAACTGACGAACTCCAGAAGAACGTTCCAAATGCTATTTTCTCCAGCAATCCTTGCAGGTTTGACTCCAGCCTGCTGAATTATTGACATTGATTACATGCTGAAATTGCTGAACTGGAAGTGATTAGCCATCTCTCCTGCATCACATGCTTGTGAAGTAGCATATTGTCAATATTACAAAATAAGTGCAATACACTGTATTATAAAAAAGCTTATTGACATATTATAAGCGAGACTGCCTGCCACTTTAAAGTCAGGTAAAGTAATGCTTCAAACATTTTATACATTTACACTGGAGAATTGTACAGTACAAGTTATTATCATGGCTAAATATGCTTGCAACTTAAATAGCCAAGGGATCAATGTAATGTAACTTTACTTGACTGTGCACCCAAAAGAATGTGGATTCTAGATGATTTATCTCCATGATAGTCTGAAATGAACTACATTATGACATGAGAACGGTACTGCCGCTACCATATTCTGAATTCAAAAACCAACCTTTTTTTCCTTTACAGAGTAAAGTTCTACACCCAGGAAATTGTATTTTTCCGTCAGGATCTGCTCTACAGAATGAGACGATCTTCTCTAATTCCTCCCTCAACTGAAGATACAAGCGATCCTTTTGAACATGTGAGTTAACTACTTTCCTTACCTTCCACAAATAATAGTGAAAAATACAAATATTACATTCTCAATCTTACTGTTCTTCTTTGCAGCTTGTAGCAACCATCACTCATCAGAGTCATCTTTGCCCCTTACCTCTCACTATACAACCAATAATCTGGAACTATGACCACTGCCTCCGTCTATACCCTACTCCACACACGGTATCAAATTTCTTTATCAGGTATCACACAGCAAAGAAATGGAAATTCATTTGCAGGCCAATGATTTCTTGTGTTTTTTTTTTATTTTTTCTTCAACAGATAGTGTTGGGAGATCAAAGTGAACCAAAAGACTATAAATATACCGGAATAACATGTTTCAATCCTGGATCATTCGCTCATGATAGCACATTTGCAGCATATCGCCCTTGTACTCAAGAAGTCGAGCTTTCTGCCCTATAGGAGAATGACTAAAGCTGCAATATTATGACCATTATTGATTATAGCATCTCATAACTCTGATTTGTAATGAGGGATTCATGGGGGAATTCAGAAGTTGTACTAGCTAATTATGTGATAGAGGATGATTATTGTGTCAATTGTATCATTTGTGTAACTTGACATACTAACCGCTGCATTTTTAAATAGAATATCTATGAAGCATTCTTTTCTAATTCAGGTACTTGTGCTTGCAAAGATGTAAGAGATTAATCGATGCCCAGACCTGTGGCCATTAGACCATGATCGTAACTTTTTTCAATGGTTTTTGTTGTCAAAAGCCTATCCCACATTCTCGTTTTCTATGGGTATAATAAACTGTCATTGCTATTTGTGAGGTCCGTCCATTCCTAATACAAAAACTGAGGCCAACTTCCTCGGTTTCAACTCTATACTTGTCCGATTCGCATCAAGTTATCTCACAAAAATGAAGATTTGTAGCTTATCCTTACGTCTAGTCTTCCTCCTTTTTTTGTTAATTTTTCTTCCTCCTCTTTTTTTTAAATTTTTTTATCTCAAATAAACTTCTGCCTATATTTTCCCCAACCTATAGTGTATGCAGGCTTATGCAATTGTCATGTAAATTCCATCATTTGAGCATAGTATCTTGATCCCTCCAAAGGGAGCTTGGGACTACTATTGACTTCGTTGTTCCATTTGTATAGCGTGTCATTTGCACTTTGCACAAAAGATGCTCTGCCCTTCAAAGGGAGCTTAGAACACCCACTTCCATCATTTGAGCATAGTATGATTATTTCAAACCGACCCCATCCAACCGAGCCCATTACTGACTGATCGGGTCAGTTTCAAAAAAGTCCACCAAAAACCAGGCCCGGCCCTTTATCTAAAAAAAACCAGAGAGTCGGAGCGGCCAGAAACCAAGAGAATCAAAGCCAAGCGAGCTAGGGTTCCGTCTTCCCCCAATTTGAGGTGCAACATTTTTTTCCTCCCCTCTTTCTCCATTGCAGAGGTTCATTTCCGATTAATTTCAGAAATTATTATGATCTACTCGTGGATGTGTTTGATCCTGGTGTAGAACTGTGGAAGTCTCTTCATGATTTAGTTTCTCTTTTTTAGATTCTTTTTATATTGATATCAGATCCGTTCCTCTGATTTTGGTTGATAAGTTTTGGATTCTACTATATATCCAGGTCCAGATGAAGCTGCGTTGATAGATCAAGTGAAAGAGTTATTTTTTTTTATGACTGACACCCCTCAAAAGATTTTGTGATATTCAAAATTTCCCCTGTATGTTTCCGTTAGCAAAAGTAGGGTTATTATTTATTAGGGGTTTCCATGCAAATCACCTTTAAATTAGCATGATCATACAAAAACCATCTTCAAAGTTCGATTTGTACATAAAACCGCTTTCAAAGAGGTTCCGATTGCAAACAACCATATTGACCCTTTTTTATTATTATGAATTTTGGACTAAAATTCCTATTATACCTTTAAAACAGCACCTGACACGTCTTCTCGACCAAACCTAGTGCTTGACATGTGTGTTTTTAGGGGTTTTTTGATAGAATTTTAGTCAAAGTTTCATTAGGAAATAGGTCAAGGTGGTTGATTGCAATCGGACCCTCCTCTAAAGGTGGTTTTAAATTTAACTTTGAAGGTGGTTTTTGTGAAGTCACTCTATTTTAAAGGTTGGTTGCAATCAGAACCCCTTTAAAGGTGGTTTTCGTATGATCACACTATTTAAAAGGCAGTTTCTATGAAAAACTCTATTTATTAATAGAATATAATATGAAAAATTCTATTTGATATTGTTTGACTATAAATTATGAGTCAGGAACTGATATTGAGAGAGAATATTTGCCTTAATCTTCATCCAGTGCTCTTGATAACTTATAATGAAACGAAAAAAGATATAAATTTATTGGTATTAGTTGACAGTATAAGTTCTTCTACATCATGAGATATAAAAAGTTAAGAGAACAATAAGCATTCATGTATATTTTCAGCTGGGGTTATGGTCATAAAATGTGCTGGTCATTTATTTGTTGCTGACTCTAGATATTTTGGGATCATTGACTTGTTATTCTTGCCTATTCTGTTCTAGGATAACTTTATTACTAAACCACTAAAAGACTTATATACCTTGTAGGTAGTTTTCCAGTTGTATCTGAATTGTGGAATTTATCTTTTAGCCAAGCTACTCACGAACACTGAACTTATGCTATGTATTAGACTGCACTTTGCCTGATTAAAAAGAACAAATTTCAGTAGCTTGATCTACATGTGACAGGCGCACAGAAATCACAACTATTTGATTAAAGATGTCTGCAAGCGAGTCAACCAGGGAGGAAAATGTTTACATGGCAAAGCTTGCTGAGCAAGCAGAGCGGTACGAAGAGATGGTTGAATTCATGGAGAAAGTGGCAAAGACAGTGGATGTTGAAGAGCTCACTGTGGAAGAGAGAAACCTCCTCTCTGTGGCATACAAAAACGTGATTGGTGCCCGCCGTGCCTCTTGGAGGATCATTTCATCAATTGAGCAAAAGGAAGAGAGCCGTGGTAATGAGGATCATGTGTCAATGATTAAGGAATACCGAGGCAAGATTGAGGCTGAGCTCAGCAAGATCTGTGATGGGATCTTGAAGTTGCTCGACTCTCACCTTGTCCCTTCCTCCACTGCTGCTGAGTCCAAGGTATTCTATCTTAAAATGAAGGGAGATTACCACAGGTTTGTGTTAGAGGTCACAACTCGCACTTTTGGATTCTAAAATGGCAGAAGATATTGTTTTTAACTGTAAGTTAATTGCGAGCAGGTACCTTGCAGAGTTTAAAACTGGAGCTGAGAGGAAAGAAGCTGCTGAAAATACGCTGTTGGCGTACAAATCTGCACAGGTGGGACATTTATCTAACAGGGTTAATTGATTTTAGCAGTTCATTAATTTAACTCCTGTTTCTTATATCTTGATTTACGTTTATTTAGAGATTCTGGAGTTTATCTCTGTCGCATATTTGTATTGAATAAGTTCCTGCAATTTCTTTTCCTTTTAACTTACCTTACTGTTCTTGATCTCTCATCATATTGTCATTTACATCATTCATAGGATATTGCTCTGGCTGAATTGGCTCCGACCCATCCGATAAGGCTGGGGTTGGCTCTTAACTTCTCAGTTTTCTACTACGAGATCCTTAACTCACCTGACCGTGCATGCAGTCTTGCAAAGCAGGTTTGTTTCTGAAAGCTATTGGTTTAAAACTTTTAATTTGCTTTTTGATGAGATGTTTCACATGTTGCTCTTGGTATTATCCAGTTACATAGTTTAGTCAATCTTCTCTTTCATGTACTTGAATTTTGCTGTTGGCAGTTGGCACAAGTTGTTACAGTGCCTGTGTAGAACATTATGTTTGTTTATCAGTGATTTTATATCACTAGTTTGGAAAACACTGTTATGTAGCAAGCAGTTTATAAACTACTGCATAGCTTGAATATTGTTAATTTTTCATAAATTGGATTTAATGCCTGAAAGCCCGTGAATCTGCGACTAGTAGTCGTGTATCTGAATTCTGAACAGATAATGTCTTTGAGCATGATATGGAAGCTATTTAATCTTTGCATCCTTTCTTCCACTTCATAGCAACTGGCAAACATTGTCATTCACCAATAAAGTTTTGCTTTTCCCATGTCACTTCTGCTAAGCTCTTACATCTCAGTTAATTATATTTACTTGTTTAGTTATTTATTATGACCAAGTTATGAGCTTCAGCCATGCATTAGTTAATAAGCTTCATGGTCAGTCACAAAGAGCTTTTTACTTGATGAGGGCGATAATTTATCACGGGGCAAGTTGGTTTAGATAATAGTTTATGAACTGAAGTTTGTGCACGATTTATCACAGACTCACAGTTCTTTTGCTCAGGATTATAGTGCAGTCAGGTAGAAACTGTCAACCAATTTTTCTATTTTGTTTACCGGTGATGATTCGTCTTAAAGTTTATTCAAAAGCTGATGAAAAATTTATCTAGACTAGCCTCTCAAATGATAACTAAAATATCATTTTTTTCCCAGGCTTTTGATGAGGCTATTTCAGAGCTCGACACTCTTGGCGAGGAATCTTACAAGGATAGCACATTGATCATGCAGCTTCTCAGAGATAACCTGACTCTTTGGACCTCAGACATCACGGTCTGTTACCCTTCTTCCATTTTTTTTAATCCTTTCATTTGTATAGTCTTTCTTCTTAATTTCTGTACGAATATCACAACTATTGACACTCTTGATTATGGTGTTGGTTTTTGGTTACCAGGAGGATACCGGAGATGAGATCAAAGAAGCAGCTCCAAAGGCTGAGTCTGGAGCGGGCCAGTGACGAGAACCACCATCACCCTCTTGATGACGGGCTTTCTGAAATTCGTGGTTTTTTTTCTTTCTGTATTTTAAATTTATGTATTAAGATGTTGTAATAGGAATCTGCATGTGTTTGGTTAAAATGGTATTAGACGTGTGTGGCATGTAAAATTTTTTTTTTTAATTTTTTTTTGCTTTTTGCAATTTGATTGACTAACTAGTGTTTGTTCTAGCTGGAATTGTGGTTGTTGATTGTCCATTGTTAATGTGTTCCTGCCGCAATTTGTTTTCTGTAGAGTTCTTGGTCAGTTCTATGTTTTCAATTAAAGTTATGTGGATGGTGGTAAATTTTCTGAAGGTGTAATGACCTGCACCTATGCCATTTAAATCAATAATTATGACTTGTTCAGGGTTTTAACCGGTTAAAACTTTCCACCCTTGATGTGAGCTCTAATTTTGTTATGTTATGCGGATGGTGTTAAAATCCCTCATCTAATAAGATCAGAAAAAAACTCTCATATGCTACTGTTTGTGAAATAAAACCTTTTGTGAAATAAAACCGTTAATTTTATTTAAAGTTTTGCTTTTCGAATATTTTGCACGGTCGTTTGAGTTTGTTTAAACTCTGTCTACACTTCCTACATATTTATGGAAAACTATTTGTGGAAAATCTTTTTTAACTAGGAAAAAAGGGATTCGGATCCTCTCCACTACAAAAAAATAGTGGAGGGATTACTACATAATCACAACCATTGATTATCTAATTGATGGTTATGATTTTTTCTTTTAGTGCAAATTAGGAATGAGTGCAATACACGAGGGTATGGTAAGTGTTATATTTAGATTGTATCATAACCGTATATTAAATAATCAACGCTTGGGATTAAAAATAGTGGTCTCTCCACTATTTTTTTTGTAGTGGAGAGGATCCAAATCCGGAAAAAAGATGGGAGTGAGGTGACGGTGCCATCATCTTGTTGAGAATGTGGCCTATTTTTTCCGTGAAGTTTTTTTAGGAAACAGGTGGAGTCTATTTTGATGGCGTTCTCCTCCAATTTCCTTTTCTTTGATTTCTAAGAAGCCAACCAGACATGCCCCCAAAAGAAAACAAGTTATGTTTTTTTATAACAAAAAATATTTACGAGTGAATTACCACATCCTTCAAATTGGTGCTGTTCTCCATAAAAGAGAGAATAAACTTGCAGGACAAATTTTCAAAACCGACCCATTTGGGTTTTTAATTGCAAAAAACGACCGGTTTTGAAAATATTTACAAAAACCGACCTGTTTTCAGCCAGGGGTTGAAAACAGGTCGGTTTTTTTAAAATTTTTTGGGAAACTTCACGGGAGTTAAACTCCCGTGAAGTTTTTTCTCATAACAAAACTTCACGGGAGTTGAACTCCAGTGAAGTTTGGAAAAAAAAATTTCAAAAACCGACCCAGTTTCAACCAACATGGTTGGTTTTTATAATTAAAATTAAAATGAGTCGTTTTTTGCAATTAAAAACCTAAATAGGTCGGTTTTGAAAATTTGTCCTAAACTTTGATTGTAAAAAGAGGTGCCTGTGCCTCAACTTCCTCCTGACACAACCAACGAGGCATATTTTTATTGACTTCGATATATTTTTTCCCCTTTCATTTTCTTTAATCAAAGTCATAACATTATTCCAAAAAAAGAAGAGTGACATTTAGGGGTGCCAAACCGTATCCGTATCCGAGGAAATATCCGTAACCGTACCCGTTAGGATACGAATATGGTTACTCAAATCTATTACCGATAGGATATGGTTGCGGAAATGGTTTTGTAGTGAAATATCCGTACCCGTATCCGAAAATATCTGAATACATATTGGTAATACTCTTATGATAGTTTCGATTATTAGATTATGGATTTGTGGTTAATTTTGATGATCAAGATGTCTAATCTTAGCTTTTCAATCATAATGAACATAATAACGAACTCCTTTTGTATCACATGACTATATTTTTCTGAATACTATCTAGTTTTCTCATATCCTTTTGGTATCCACATGCATATCCGTTTATATATCCGCATATATATCCGTAACCGTATCCGATTTTGGCGGATATGGATATGAATTTTTCTTACCGACGTATACCCGTATCCGTATCCGTATCCGAGATGGATAAGCGGATATGGATATGGTAAGTGTCATATCCGAGCCGTATCCGCTCCGTTAACACCCCTAGTGACATTACAAGCACACCCTCAACCACACATTGGGGTACACCCCCTCTTTTAGCTACAGTGCATGAGGCCTATTTTAGATTTTTTTAAAAATCTATAATGGTCCCGTGCACTGTAGCTGAAAGAGGGGGTGTGACTCAAGGTGCGGTTGGAGGTGTGAGTGTAGTGTTTTCTAAAAAAGAAGAAAAGATAAAAGGGCAATATATTCCAATTTTGCATGCCGGTAAAGCTTCTGGGAAAAAAAAAAAAATTCAATATTCCAATTTTGCAGTCTTCTCCTTCACAGAATCCCTGAGCGAAGCAAATGTCTCTCTCCTCGCTCTCTTCCATTAGATTCAAGAAGCATCCGCTCCTCGGTCTCCGCCCCCTCAAACCCCCCTCATCATCGTCATCATCATCAATGTCCACCGCCGTCTCCGCCTCCTCAAACCCTAACTCCTCATCGACCAAGAAGGTAGGCCCCGCCCCCACGCCGATCTTTTCTCTCTTCGATCCTTTTTTGATTCGTTTAGTTCTTTCTCTTATTTTAGGTTCGGGTGGTGGTAAAGGGCCGAGTCCAGGGCGTGTTCTTCAGGGATTGGACGGTGGAGAACGCACGCGAGCTGGGCCTCAGCGGTTGGGTCCGCAACCGCAGGGACGATGCAGGGCGGGCCCGCCGGCCGCCGTGGTGACGGGGATTGATTCGTTCCCCGCGGAGGGGGAGGACCCCGGTCAAGGTTTTCAACGCAAACCCACTGCTTAGAAGTTCCATTTATAGTTAGAATGAGATTTGATTTTGACTACCCCACCTCGTTCTTTTTTTCTTGTTCCGAACAATGGATGCATTCTTGTATATTTACCACTCATAAATGCGACGGGCAACCTCTTTTTTCTTCTTCATGTTGTTTGGAAATGTTATATGGCCGTGCGGCAGTGTTAGGATTCTTAATTTTCTTGGTATCAGAATTTGAAATCATGAAACGCCTGGTTTGTAACTACGCAGACGAACCTCTTGATTACTAATGGAAGCCTCCCAAAAAGAGCACGTTGAAAGTTGGTTTTGCGAATTAAGGATAGCGAGACAAGTCAAATCTTGGATTAGATGTGTAGTGTTGTGGAAAACAGCAGTGTCTGAAATCAAGATCACGAAGCAACAACCAAAATAAAATCACAAAAAAGATCACAAACACAAACACAAAGATATACGTGGTTCGGAGCAAGTCCTACGTCCACCGGATAAACTTCACCATAATAGAAGAGAGATTATAAATCACATAGACGAGATCAACAGTCTCTCCGACTCTCTCTCTCAGAAGATAGAGAACTTTTCTATCAATTTGATTAATGGATTCTCTTTTGAGATTGTCTCTCTCTCTCTATTTATCATGAGATACTATCTTTCTCCCACGCCTTGGATCCGAGAATAAACCCCTTTTATAGAGTCAAATTCGTGTAGAACAAGGGTTCCTCAAAACCCCACACTTTAACCTCAATTAACCCACCTAAATAGGGTCGGACCTGCTTCAGACGCCTCGATAGTCTGCGGTACCACAGCCTACCAACTGTTGGGCAAAAACCGCTCACGCGGGATAGACCACATGCGATGGGCGGGAGCGGTCATTGCCCAACACTTGACAGGCTGTGGTGCTGCAGCCTGTTCCTTGGCAGTAAACACACCACTTGCGGTGTGCGCAAACAGTAGAGAGGATGAGGGCCAAAGCCAACAGGTAGAGATGACAACAGTTTTGAAGAACCTTCTTCCTTTCTTGTTCCAATATTGGCGAAGGCTTCTGGATTTCAAGTATAATACAGAAGTAAACATATTCAATTCAAAAGTATTTTAAGTTCTGATTTATTTGAGAAATCTGAATATGGACATTTGGATTGTGAGTTTTACATAATCAATAGCTGGGCTGCCATGGCATGCCAACATCATTTATCCACCTTATCTATTACCTAAATGGTTCAGTATGCTTCGTGTAAAATTTCTATTTCAAATATTTTCTTTTCTCTTAATCTATTAAAGCAATGAGCTACCCATTAAGTTGTTGAAAATGTTACGCATTCAACCAAAGAGAGTTTATTTATTATTTGCTGTATTCTCAATTAGGCATATGCAAGCGCTTTTTCTAGCGTATTTTTGGTTTTGACTAATAGCTGGCAACTAGGGGTGCTAAACCGTATCTGTATCCGAAGAAATGTCCGTAACCGTATGGTTACTCAATTCCATAACCGATAGGATATGATTACGGATATGATTTTCTAGTGAAATATTCGTATCCCTATCCAAAATATCTGAATACATATTAGTCATATTCTTATGATGGTTTCGATTCTTAGATTATGGATTTGTGGTTAATTTTGATTATCAAGATGTCTAATCTTAACTTTTCAGTTATAATGAACATATTAACGAATTCTTTTGTATCGCATGAACTATATTTCTCTCAATACTATCAAGTTTTCTCATATTCTTTTTGTATCCGCACGCATATCCGCTTATATATCCGCATGTATATCTATAATTGTATCCGATTTTAACGGATATGAATATGAATTTTTCTTACCGAGGTATATCCGTATCCGAGATGGGTAAGTGGATATGAATATGGTAAGCATCATATTCGAGCCGTATTCGGACCGAATGCAACTCTACTGGCAACACAATCACAAAGTTGCTTCGGCTCCAAAACTGTTTCTTTTCTTTTATAGTGCATAGATTTTGTTTAATACCAAGACTTAGCCCAGTCTTGAATCCGAGACCCTTTATAAGCCAGGCTTAGTGGCATTCCACAATGTAGGCATAAAAAAATGCTTATAGATTGCAAAGAAGCTCAAAACTGACGAAAACGCTGTTATCTCTTAAACCGGAGGGAATTTGGCGAAAAAGACAGTAGAAAACCGAACTTCGGTGGGTTTGGTTGGCCCTGTCTCGTCGAGATAGGCAATTTTCATATATAATTTGTCCAATTTCGACTTACGGTTTGAAAGTTATGACCCGTTCTTATCAACATGTTCTGAAGTCCGCCTGAATTGATCGAAGCTCGCCTGAACTATTGGACCAAGCCTAT